CCCCCCCCCCCATACAATGGAACAGGCCATCACCTCACCTACCATGCCCAGGGTCAAAGTGGGCGGGACTCTGATCCCCCGCCCCCAGTAAGAGTGGAAAACGTTGGGGTTCTAGGTAGAATAGAAGGGTCCACCGTGCCCCCCTATCTTGAGAATGGAGCAGGCCGTGAGCCCCGCCCCCACGCTTTTGCTTAGAATGGAACAGGCCGGCCGAGGATCCAACCAACCCTTGGGTCAGAATGGAAAGGACCACTACCACCCTCGCCTGTGAGAGTGGACTGGTCTGTGTCCACCGAAGAACAGGCCTTGGTTTCTCCCTTCCCCCCTCCCCCCATCCAGCAAAGGCATGACACCACTCCCCTCCCCTGGCCGGAATGGACTGGTCTGTGGCCTTAGCTCTGCTCTAGCTAGGCTGCCAGGGATTGAACCATTGAACTGAGGGAGGGGGGATGGACTTACACTGCCCACTCGAGCTTCTGGTTGCGGATGGAGTGGTACAGGGCCTGCGGGCAGAGTGACGGGTCAGGGGGCCATGGCAGGCCGCGTCAAACCACACCGGGACATGTCAAGCCACGCTGAGGCATGTCAAGCCACACTAAGCCACGCCAGAACACGCCAAGCCAAGTCAGGACATGCTACACCACATCAGGATATGCTGAGCCACTCTGGGACACGCCAAGCCACATTGGGATATGCCAAGCCACACTAAGCCATGCCAGGACACATCAAGCCAGGCCATGCTTGGACATGCCAAGCCACGCTGGGGGCAGACACGGATGGATTGCATCCTGCACACCAGCCCTCCCTGGAACTCAGTACCTTGAGCTGCTCCTTGGGAAAGTTCTGCCTGTTGTCCATCAGCCCGTCCAGGTTGGCCACGAACTGGTTGCAGGTCATGCTGCGGCCCAGGTTCTGCAGTCACCGCAAGGGGGTGACACACATGGGACACAACATTGGTGAGTGTGTTGTGTCGGGGGGAGCCACCCTCCCACTTTTTCCCCTCCACCCTGGGGCCTATGCTTGGTGGGGGGCTGGCTGCCAGAGGAACGGGGGGGCTGCAGGTCAAGGGTGAGGGGCATCAGCGGGGCAGGAGCTCCAGATCAAGACTGAGGGACATTGGCAGGGCTGGGGGCAGGGGCTGCAGGTCAGGGCTGAGGGGCACTGGAAGAGCTGGGGGCAGAGGGTTGTGGGTCAGGAGTGAGGGGCACCAGCAGGGCTGGGGGAGCAGGTGGGTGCAAGGGGATCTTGGTCCTTGGTTCCCACCCATGGGTTTGGGGAGCTGCCCAGTGGCTGCATGAGACGTCCTCTTCCCTGCAGCAGCTTCCAGGCCCCCCTCCCCAGAACCCATCTCCCGCCCTTACCGGTCCATGGAGGTCCGTGTTGAGCAGCATGAGAGCGCAGGTCAGCGTGTGCACAGCATCTGGGGGCACAGGGGGGGATCCAGCAAGGGTAGTGGTGGGGGGAGCCTTCTTCTCCTTCCCCACTGCTGGTCAGGAGTGAGGGGCACAAGCAGGGTGGGGGGCATCAGGGGCTGCAGGTTGGGGTGAGGGGCACCAGGGAGGCTAAGCAGGGAGGCAGGGGCAGTGGGTTGAGAGTGAGGGGCACCAGCAGGGCTTAGCGGGTAGGGGGCTGCGGGTCAGGAGTGAGGGGCCCCAAGAGGACAGAGGGGTACCTGGCGAGGGGAAGGCATGGGGGTTGGCCTGGTGGAAGTGGCTGGAGAAATGCCGCAGGATTCGTTCCCGCTCCTGTGTCTCGCCTGTCAGCACAAAGGCGCTGAGGAATGTCCTGTGGGGTTAGACATGGGATGACCTCCAGACCCCCTCGTCCCCCTGTTCCCCCACTCGGGGATCCCAAGCAGCTTCCCCCGCCCCCACCACCTAGCCCTGCCCCCCTGGCTGGGGGGGGGGGGGGGGGGG